CTGCTCAGGTCCCTTCCGACCCTACTAACTATGAAACAATAGTTTAACTGCTGCAGGAAAACATTGCTATTAGTAGTGATGTGGAAAAACATCTGTTTAGAGGAAAAGTGTTTGGCCAGTAGAAGGCTTTGCTGATGTTTTACAGGTTGGTAGTCTAATAACCCTGGATGGCTTTAAAAACATCTGTGGAGGCAAAACACAGAAGAGGGAAATGACAAGCCAAGGTCATGCAGGAAGTGACAGAGCCAGTGACTGAACTCAGACCCCTGAAGCCTTAGTCCAGAGCCTTCACTGCAAGAGCTGACCCCAGATTAAGCAGCATGAAACTGGCTCTGGACGGAAAATAAGTCACTATTGGATAATTTTATGTTTAACTGCCAGAAGTTGGAAGACTGCTGAAACACCCAAGAGCAGAACATAGCTGAGCAGGCTGTCTCAGTGCAGGAAGGGAACTCAGCCTGGGAATGCTGCATGGTAAACAGGCACATTATGTAAATGTAAGTTACACAGATCCTTTTCTTTCCTGTGTCCTTGTGACATGGTATTTAGTAGATTTCACAGTCATTGGAATCTGACAGGGCTGTGCTGAGAGCTGCTGTGATCTCAAACTTGTGATCTCTGGACTGTCAACCATGTGACTTCGCACCCATGCCACCCCAGCCCCCATCTACACAGATTTAAAAAAATCTCAGCTGGAACCAAAAGGAAGGATAAGCAGCAGCACAAAGCTGTACAGCCTATTTGAAGGTCCCTGAAAGAAGGCTGAAGCAAGCAGGCAACCCAAAGTAGTATGTTACTTTCTTCTTGAAACAAGCACTTCCTTTTTCAGCAGGATGGAAAAGGGAGACATGCACTAGGACAGAGGTGACTTTGTAAAATCCAGAGCCCTGCTCCTCACTTCCTGTCTATCCTGCAGCCAGCCAGACTCAGGCTGGAAAGGAAATCTATGTTGGAGCTCCCACCCTGTGGAGGTTAGGATCACATGCAGCCCAACTGGCCCAAAAAGTCACCGTGTATACATTTCCACCACTGGCACTGGCCCAAAGTCTGTGATGGCTCCAGCCCCAATCTGACCTGGCAGCAACCAACTAGCACCATGGCAAAACGACCCTTGATGCACATGGCTGGAGAAGGGCCAGACCCTGGTGACCAGCTAGAATTTCCTTTTCCCTGGATGTGGCTGCTGGATCCCTGAAGCAAAGAATCACCTTGCCTGTCCCAGCCCTATTGCAGTGAGCAGAGGGGAAAATAAAGCAGTTTCTTCGGGAGTACAGATATGGCAGGGTGGGGATGAATTCACAGGCCTATGATCCATCCATCCTCACATGACGACTACAGATCTACTCAGATTATGGTTTCATGAATGTAATGGAAATTGTGAAATCAGGCAATGTCTGCAAAATCCGCAGGAAAAAAAATTTACTAGAAGTAAAAAATGCTGGCTCCCCAGTGGGAGCCACCAGTCCTTGCGGCCACTATGGCTACCAGCTGTAGTGCTGGGAATGCACATACTCATTTCCCAATGGAAATACTTCTATGCCATTCAGTAAATGAATGAAGGACACATGACAGAAGGCTGCAAACTACAACATATAGTATCCTAAACAGTACACAAGTATCCTAAATGTGCAAGAAGCCCTTCTGCTCACTCCAGCTCCTGCCACCAGAGCCCAGGTCCAACTCACAGGCCCCTCCTCCATTCAAGCGGACAGGAATTCTCAGCTTGTCTCTGCAGTGGCACAGGGAGAGCCAGGGATTGTCAATTGTTGGATCAGTGATTTGGCACTCCAGTTAACTCAGGGCAGAGATTTCCACCTCTTTTCTAGCCCAGGCTTACCTATTCAGCAGTGTGGAGTGAGTGTGTTCCACTTTCTTCTGTTGGAGCTGCACTAGTTTATGGCTAAATATCCATTAAAACAGAAAGAAAAATTTGTACTGTATCTCAGATGTTTACAATGTTAAGATCCAGACTCAAGTGTCTCTACTACTAAATATGCAACTATTCGTACAAAATAGAGCAACCCCCAACATGAGAGATTCAAAAAGCACCATTTGAAATAGCGTTGTGGCCAGGATTCTTACTTGGCATACATGCAGCCTGAGTTCAGGTACCACATGGCCTGAATCAAGCAGAGCAGGGACTAGAACAGGGTGCCCTACATCTCAGCTGAGTACCTAAGCCACTGGCTATTCTTGGTGCAATGTCTCCTGATTTTCAAAAGATCTCTTTCATCTCAATGCAGACTAGGACATTTTTCAAAATTGTAAATTTTTTTCTTGAACTGGTAAAGCTGTTGTCCATGCAGATCAAGCCCTGTTTCCTAAGCAGCTGTAGCTGAAGTTCCCCAGTTTAAATTTCTGCTGCTTGCTGTCCAATAGAGACAGTGGAGGGTCCTGGAGGATACAAGACCCATCCCTCCCACAGGCCTTCACTGTGGAGGAACAGAGGGGATTGTATACATGTGGAGGGGTTTGCATGGGGGGCTGCATTATGAAATGCAGGTCCTGTGACTTGGAAATCAGATGTTACCTATATGAAAACCATGTTAACTGTATAAGCAGCAATGAAAAAAAGAAATTTGAGTAACAGCACCAAGCATAATAACTGAAAATATTTTATTTGACATGAATATCAAAGTAGGAATCTCAACTTTTACATTTGTAAATAATACAGGTGACAAAAGTGCAAAGTAAGACATGCTGAAAACATCTATGCCATTCAGTAAATGCATGAAGGACATGTGATACAAGGTTGCAAACTACAACATGCGATATCCTAAACAGTACACAATTATCCTGAAGAAATTAGGCAACCATATTTTGTTTCATGGTGTTCTCTAACTTCTGACTCTTTTTACATAAGACTGTTTTGTGCATTGCTAAGGGCATTGGGATGGGGAACCACCACAAGGTAAAATTCAGTCAATATTCACTTCTGAGTGATGTGCATGTTTATACGTAAGGCCCCTGAAAACCCCAGAGAGAGAACAGTGACTGGACTTCATGGACTGCTCATGTCAAGAAGAAATTTCACAGTTTGAGAGGTGAACTCAGAAAAGGGAAATCCTGACTGAGGATGAAAAGATTTAAGTAAATCTCTCAGAAAGGAGAAAAGGTTTTGTCTAATGTACCCCCCCCATCCCGGCTTTTCTCGTATGCTTTTAAAATGTCGGTCTGAAGCAACTTTAAAGTGTAGCTGTAAGACACTTTTCTTTTGGTTCAAGGTTGCCATGCCCCCCTTTCTTTTAAGGCACATTTGTAGAAATCTTTGAGGCTGACAGCCAGAAGTTACCATTTACATGGCATTCAGTTACTTGAGCTTTTTATTTTTAAAGAGAACTTTTTTTTTCTGTAGAAAGTTTTCCTGATCTTCACAGAGCGATAAAGGCAAAAAAAGGTCAAGTGCAATACATAGCATCTTTGCATAGTTTGTGCAGAGGAAGAACTGACAGTATTTGCAGGCTCAGATGTTCACGCATTACTACCTGCTGAGGGTAAAGGCAGCACATTAGTGAACAAAGTCACTTCATGGTCGCTGTTGAGTCCTTGTGATGTTTAAGAGCCTACGTATAATTTGGTGCCTACATGCTGCTGAGAATGAGCGAGGGTGTTGTGGGAGCCTCACTCTGAGCACCTTTGACAAACTCAGTCTGCTAATATGAGTTGTTGCACATGCCTGAGTTTTGCAGGGAGAGAATTCACCCAGTTCCTGGAGCAGAGCCAAGTCATGTGCTACCAAGCATGTGTCTGCCAGAATTATTCTCTGTATCATTTTCAAGTTCAAGTATTTGTAAGCTGGGCTGCTTAGCACTGGTCCTGCAAAAAGGTACGTGCAGGTGGGTGGGCAGGCAGTCACCGGAGTCCCATGGAAACCTGTGGG